TCAAGGGGTGCGGGCAGTTGCCGGCACAGAAGCAGCGGGAAGGTCCTCGGGGAGGAAGAGCTGGTCCGTGGGGGGCGGGGGGCTCCCTGGACCCGCGGGGGCCCTGCCGGACAGGAGGCTTTCCGCTGACCACTCTCCACTAGCACCCCCTGGACTCTGGACTCCGCAGTGAAAACATTCAGACACAGAAGTGGAAACGAGAATGTGCCCACGGCAGGGCCTCGGGGGCTCCGGCCGCTGCCCGCCGGCCCTAGGCACGGGGGTGTGGGTCCTGCCCTGAAGGGGTGCCAGGCACCCCGAAGGACAGATGGCTCTGGGGGAGCAGATGCGAGTTTGACCTTTGGGAGCATTACTGCCTCCCTGCTGTGTCCCCACTCACAGGCCCTGGAAGCTGACCTGGAACATCTACAAAATAATAGTGGTGTCTGATCGAACATCTCAAAGGCTCTTCTATATGTTTTCGATTGTTTTTGCTTTTCGTAATTACCGTTGGCACATGGCATCATTTTCGTCTCAGGTGTACGGCAGGGTCTTAGACGTTGATACACCTTACGAAGCGATCCCCCCGATCGATCGAGCGCCACCTGGCACCATACGTAGTTACCGCATTATCGGCTGTATTCCCCGGGCTGCCCGTGACCTTCCCATGACCTTCCCGTGACCACTTCCATAACGGCGATTTGTCCTTCCGCCCACTGCCCCTTTTTCACCCAGTTTGTTTCTGTTTTCTCTGTTCGTTTATGTAAAAAAATAATAATAATGCAATGTAGTAGTAAATTATACAATGACGTGACTATTAGCAATGAAGTTGCAAGCAATATTTTTCGAAGCTTATCTGCTTAGTTTCTTGAAAATTACCTATGCTACGGCTCAATAGCAGAGACACCCTCTTAATTTCAAGAATAAGTAAATTTAACTCATAGATCAATCAATAAAATTCACTTCAGAGCAAGGGGCCAAAACAATCTTAGAATAACTGAAAAGTGTCTAAATTCAAAGACGCTTCCTTGCTCCTCTCATTAGCAAATAACAAAACTACGACGAACAGTAAAAACCACATGACTTTGCTCCTTGGCAGCTTCAGAGAACCAGTGATTCAGGATAAGGTCATTTTTCCAGAGAGAAGAGGGCTCACCCTGGTCAAAACCACTGTGAAGAAATGAACTATTTTGGTGGAACGACATTTCTGAAGTGTGAGGCGTGCTCTCCTGCTCTCTGAGCCTGGGCGGGGGACAGTGTAGGCGAAGCCCTGTCCTGCACCCTCCAGCCGCCGGACGGGCGAGGGCTGTGGCGGCCCAGCGTGGGTGCCAAGCCTGGGGCCCCGGCCAGCCATATAGCAGTTTTGCAACCTGGGGAGTGAAGCTCTCAGTGCCCTGATGCCTACCCTGTGAGCCTGTGAATCTGGGCTAATCGCAGGGGACATTGTGAAACCTCAGTGACAATGTCTGTCTCAGTTACCTCGCGGTGTGACACCGGGTGGGGAGGGGACCAGTGAGCACGCTAGCGCACCCTCTGGTCCTCAGCACCACACGCAGCAGAGCGGTGCTTCCTGGATGAAATCATTTTTACAGAAACATCCTAACGAGATTCTAAGGAAAGGTCTGTGCAGTTCAGACGTGGCCCCCGGCCCCGCCCGCCCTGGCGTGTTGGGACCCTCGCATCTGAGTCCAGTGACGCTGTCTGGCACGTGGGCCGTCTGGCTCCGCGGCCGGGGGCTCCAGATGTCTGCAGTTTCTAGAACCCTCCACTGCGCCTCATGCGGGCTTCCTCCTGTTCCCCCTCTGGCTTCTAGTTGCCTGTTCCTACTGTCACCGGCTCGGCTCCCTCTCCCCTACTCCAATTAGCTGCTTTTACTGAAAATCTGATAACTCAGCCTATAAAGCTCAGAATTAGAAGTAATAGATTTTGGGAAAAGACATATTTTAGATTTTTTTCTTACTTCTTGACTGTCCCCTATGTTCACAGTAGATGAGGTTGCTATAAAGCATTTATGTAGATTGTACAGAGTTTGCACAGCTTGTAATTCCATAGTTTGTAAAGGAAGCACACAAAATGAAATGTTTACATCTTAAGTAATGTTATTTAAATGTAAAATTATTTCGATGTATTTAATTATTAGCTTTTAGAGTCTCATTTTAGAAGTATAATTTGAGAAGAATCACCCATTTCACTTAAGTATTTTGGTATCATATGGTCAGCAAATCATTGTAATTAAATCAAGAAAAACATTTACTGTTTCATAAAGACACACGTGCCTACGCTCCACCACTAAACTCTCTAATTCATTAAGTAAGGGCTCACGCATCTGTGTTTTTCAAAATGGCCCTAAGACACTGGAGAACCCTTGACACAGATGATAAAGTTCTTGAAAGTCAGTCAAGTTACATTTTAAATGCAGGGGCTAGGCTTTAAATTTAAAGAAATTTTTTGGAACGTAAACTAACGGGTTCAGCCGCTGACCTGACGTGTGATTTTGAGAAAGCAATTTCTGGTGCATCCAATGATTAAAGGGGAAAACTGCTTTTGCTGATCATGCCTCTGGAAGTCAGACAGCTCTGGACTCAAATGGCAGCCCTGTCCTGCTTATCGGATATGGACTCTTAGCAAGTGGCGTTTCCTCTTAGCCCTAGTTTTTCCTTATTAAAAAAAAAAAAGACCTGGAATTTGACCCAATGAGATACCACGACACAACCACTAGAATGGCTAGAATCAAAACTCAGATAACCACAAGCGTTGGTGAGGGAGTGGAGGCAGGGGAACCCCTGTGCCCTGCCCGCGGGAGGGAGGCCTGCAGCGGCTACCTGGGCGAACAGCCTGGCGGCTCCACAGCGATCAACCACGGAGCCACCACACGCCCAGCAATCAAGGTCCGAGGGACGTGCCCAAGAGAACTGAAAACAGGTCCTCACAAAAACCTGCTCACGAGCAGGCAGAGCAGCAGGATCCACGGCAGCCAAAAAGTAGAAACCACCCAGATGCCCATCGACTGGTGAATGAATAAACAAAACGCCGTCCATCCATGCAATGGAATATTATTCCACCTTAAAAAGGAAGGGGATTCTGTCAGATACTGCAGCGTGGATGAACCCTGGGGTCACGGCGCTAACTGAAAGAAGCCAGCCACAGGAGACCACATATTGTGTGATTCCATTTCTATGAAACGTCCAGCATACGCAAATCTAAAGATACAAAATGCAGATTAATGGCTGCCTGGAAGGGATGGGGTGTCGGGGGTGATGGCTAAGGGGTGCAGTTTCTCTTCTGGATTATGAAAATGTTCTAAATCTGCTGTGGTGTATTAACATATTAAAAGCCATTGAACTGTACAGTTTAAATGGGTGAAATGTGCGACGCATGAATTATAGCTCAGTAAAGCTGTTAAAAACCAATAGACGAAAGCTGGAATTTTAAGACACCACAATTAATTTGAGAACGTTTTCATAATCCAAAAAATTCTGCACGGGATATTCTGAGCATTAACTAAAGGCACGTAAGCCCCTGGTGCATGGCGACCGTTACAGTGACTTTTCTTTGCCGTTCTGTTCTTGAAAGCGTCTTCACCCCCTGAAGACACGGAAGGATGGAGAACCCAGATGCCCTGGGACCCCATTGGCTGCAGCTCTCCACCCTCAACCTGGGGGCTCTAAGCTTCAGATGATGCGATCTGTAGACAAAGGAGCTGATCTAAATGTTTTTTCTCAAACTCCTCCCATGCGATTAGTCTGTCTGAGAGCCATGAGAAATCAAAATTTTGCTTCCAGTGAAAATTTGCTTTTATTTACTGACAAAATCCCAGCATTACTGTTAACTCTAATTACAACCAGTTTTAATCGAACCTCAGATTTAACAAGAGGATTCTCCTCACAAATGGAAGCCACGACAGTGAAGACCTTAGTTACCCGCTCCACTGTGATGATACTGTCTCGATCACGACCTTCTTCAAAGAGCCAAAATTACCCTTTACACTCAGAATTGCCGAATAGTCTGGGGCTCATTAAAAGGAAGCGCGACGACCCATTTCTGCAGACCTTTGCAAAAATAAAAAGCACAGCGCTTACCTCCAGATGTCACTTCCCTTAGAAAACAGGGACGATCTGATGACTTCCGGGGCCATCCAGGCGTAGGTGCCTGCCGCGCTCATTCTGGTGGTCCTGTGCCACTCCCTCGCCAGCCCGAAGTCTGTGATCTTCAGCGTTTTATTGCAGATGTCATCGTGTTCTATCTTCTCAAGCAGCAACACTAAAGAAAAATCAGGGGCGGTGGGTGTAAATTCATAGTCTTAGGATTTCTCAGTCACGATTTTTCCCTGGCATTTATAACACAATCTCCACTGCAGGTGGCAGAGTACGTGAGAAGGTCCCTTAGCATTTTATCTTCCTTAAATCACCTATATCATAACCTTTAGTGGGTCATTTGTGCCTGAAGTTACAAATTTTTTTTAAAAAATCCACAGGCACAATACAGCTTAGCACTCTTTATGACTGTTTTTCTTTATGTGAAAGTAAATGATTTCAGGAATCATTACTGAGAGGGAAAATATATATTGTTTTCTTCCTAGAAGTTAGGTCCTCATCTGAATGCAGCCTTTTCTCCTGAATATATTACAGAATCTCTTAAACAGATGACATATTATCATAAATCATCATCAAACTGTCTTATGTTAAATTTGCAAAATGCTTGCAGATGCTTTAATTCACGAAGATGTTTTATGAGATTTGATTGCTTTACTGGACCTTGAAACATGTCAGAAAGTGAAAATGTTAGAGAAATACTGTCCAGAGGCTTCCCAGCCCCCAGTTTCCTACAGGAGAGAGCTCTTGCCAGCCCTCCGACCCCCAGCTCCCAGGTAACAGTAGCTAAAATAAACCTGCTACCCATCAGGCCCCGTCTGCCCCTCCGCCTCCCCAGCACCTCAGGTCCCTCTCGCCCTGGTTGATTTTCCTCTGCCTACGACCATGCAGAATTGTTCCCGGGCCTTCTGCGAGGCTCTAAGGCACCTACCAATCCCTGTTGCTTCTTCCCATCTGCTCCAAAGGGAATAGTTCCAACCTGTGTTTCCCTAAGTCATGTCCCACGTCTTCCCGAAGCCCCGCATTCCAGCCCGCAGCTCTGCTGTGCTGCTCCTGCCGAGCGCTCTGCAAATCCCCTCTCCCCACCCTTCCCGGCCGCGACGTCACCAGCATGAGACGTTCGTTATGTTTTTGTGACATTGTCGTAAAGAAGGGCATTTTCCCCCAGACGTTATAGGGATAATTAATGCTTACTGAGTCCATTCTATCTGTTAGATACGCTTTTGGTATTTCGGTCAGATAACCCGCACTACAATGCTCTAGGCATGTACCCTTAATTATCTGGACTTGACAGATAAGGAAAACAGGCACAGAGACTCTGAGTCATGTGTCCAAGGTCATGAAGCTAAGGAGCCATGAAGCTCAAGCCTCTGGCCCCAGAGGCCGCGGCCCTGACAACCATCTGCGTCACTCAGGGGACAGGTCGCATCAGTCTTAACCCGGGAGCTCCCCATCCGACCTGGTGCCCATTCTCCTGCTTTCTCATTCCCTGTCATTGGGCAGTTATCAGCTGACTGGAGTAGAGGCAGTGTGACGACAGGCACTCTGGGGCCAGGCCGCTGGGTTTGGAGTCTGACCTGTCATGGGGATGATGACAGCACGTTCATCACAAGGTTGTAGTGAGGAGGACAGGAAGGCCTGCCTGGCACTCAAAACGGTGTCTGAAACGCCGTGAGCATTTCGTGAGACACACACACACACACACACACACACACCCCTTCCTTTATCAATGGGTTGAAAAGTGTTTTTAGCAAATCTCGGAATCAGTCTCATGGACGTCAGGAAATATTGTATCTTTTGCAAGGCCTGAGATTTCCCTTCGCTGTAGATTCGTGCCGTGTTCCCATCATTCTCAGACATTTACGTCAGTCATTAAACATTACATTAGCGTCAAAGAGTTCACGTACCTGGAGAGAACAAACCCGGGTTTAAACACAGAGACATTTGAGTGGGCACTTAATATATAGGTCGCCAACACTGAGTAAAATCTGTCGTGCTGTAACATTTCTTTCCCCAAACGATCTGCTCCTGCGAGATCTGGCGAGCAAGGACCCTCCATTCTATATCTTCGCCCATTATATAGGTGACGGATCAGGTTTTAAGGTGGTTATATGGCCATGGATACATAGCTAGCAAAGGGCAAGGCCACATTCTTCCATTCTTCCTGCTCGTAATCCCAGTGCTATGTGTGCTGCACAGTGAGGGATGGGGGCGGGGCCGGGTAGAGATGCGCTTCTGCCTACGGCGGCCTCTCATTGGTTCTGTCCGGCTACACTGTATCTATTCAAGGCCCAGCTTCCTTTGCAAACCTTTCCAGAGCACCCTACACATCATCTTCCCAATCGTTCATTATCTGTGTATTATTCTGCTTTGTCGTTTACCTTTTCACCTAAAATGCATGGCCCTAAGTTACATACACACTGCTTAATGCTGGGAACTGTTTGATAGCTTTCCCCCGAATTCCCCAGGATCACCTGACACAGCACCTTGTACATCAACTGTTCAGTGAAATAGTTCATGATAATTAGGTATTTCCTGACGTCCATGAAACTGAAATTGACGTCCATGAAATTGCCTGTCATTTACCGACCCTCTACAGCTATCGTGACACACTTAACTTCTCATTTGACCCTCACACCATTCTGTGAAGCGGAATGACAGTCTCCAGTTGAGTTTAGAAATGTCATCCAAGATCAGACCCTCACAGATGTGAGCAGGTGTCAGATGCCACCTGTGGGACTAGCTCCCTGTCTTCCGTGTTACCGTCACACTACCGGTTATCAAAAGGGGGCGCAACAACCAGACATTTCATTTTGTATCTTGCTTCGGATACTGATTTTTAACTTATCCTTCCTTCCATGTCAGCTTAAGGTATTTAAGATATTTATTTCTCAGTCCTCACTCCTTATGTTTATCAAGAAAAATAAATATCTAACACTATATACTTAAACCACAGAAGCAAAAAAAAAAAAAAAATAGATATTTAGCTACTTCATCAGCTGTAGCACCTTTTCCCCTGATAATACTACTAATTTCACTTTTAAACAATGATCATTCCTAACGCCTGAAAAGGCTCCGAATTAATGATCAAAATGGCTTTCGGTTCTATAAAACTGTGTTTTCCGAGACACAATTTATATACATTATCTCCTCACCCTTGCAAATATCCAGATAGGAAGGTGTGAGGACGTATTGATGAAAACAGGCATTGAAACAATTCCATGTCCCTAGTCCCAGTCTGGCAGCCCTTGAAAGCAAAGGCAGCTCTAAAATAAGTGAGAACAGAACCGAAAGCGAGAACTAAAACCTAAATAATTAAAATGCTTTGCATTTCTAAATAAAGGTCACGGTACCATGTACTATTAGCAGCCTCGGCGCCGATGGCCTCAGATCCCCCGCCCCCGACCCCGGTCCGGAGTTCCCACAGGAGCTAAGAGCCTCCGCACTTTGAACTAACAGAAAACAAGTTAAAATAACACTCCAAATGCCAAACGTTTAGTTCCGTGAAAGGCCCATTGTTTTAGAGTCAATTTCAGAGGTGTTCAGCAGAATTCCTCAAATTCCTTATCTTTTGGGCAAAGTGACCGAAACCAAAAATAGCTGATGTCCCGACGGGTAACCTAATGGGGCAGCTGGCCAGGTTTCAGCCTAGGCCGCAGGTTGAAGGCCAACTTCCGCTTCCTGTCACCCATCGGGAAGGGCGACGGGCACCAGCTACCCCCCAAGAAGGCACAATGCGCCAACCAGGCAGATCAAGTGTTTTGGCCACAGGAATGGCAAATTCCTGTTAGTAACCTAGCGACGGGTGCTCGAGGCCCTTTGTGCGACTGCAGTGAAGACTCTGACCCCCTTCGGCCGGGTCCTGTCCAACTGGCCTTTACAGCCTGGCACTTAGGTTACTTGCTCAACCATGTGGCACTTGATCTTCCCGGCTCTTTTGAAGTTTCACTTCGGTATTTGCAGAATTACGGCACATAAGGGTTATTTTAAAAAAAAAAGCAATTACAATGTATCCATTCTATTTTCAGTTATTATTTATGGGATTGCTGTGTCCAAATTCCATTTCAGTCCAATGGTTTCATTTCAATTAATGTTTAACTAGAAATACATTATGACAAAAAAAATAAAAAGGTCACAGGGAAGAAAAGCAGTTGAGAGGAGCAAGGACGAGAAAGCGCGATTCACAGATGCCCATTCTCGCCGCCTGCGGTGTGCGACTCTGAACCATCGGCCACTCGCAGGGAATGAACGATAACTTTCTGAGTTTACCGACAGCACCGAATTTCCTCGCATCTCCTTCCAGCTGTCTCACTCACAGACGCCACTCACTCCCTGGCCAGTCTGGGGCCCAAATCCAGACCTCCGCCGGCCTTCAGAGGTCTGGACTTGGGCCCAGTGGCAATCCAAGTGACCCTTTCAGCTTTTGTTACCCGCTAAGCATTCCGGGTAACAAAAGCTCCCCCTAATGAACGTCTGTCCCTCTCCATCCTGCTCCCACCCCCGCCGGACATATGGGCCCGCCTCCCATATGTGGGAGCATCGGGGCGATGGCACCGGTGGGCTCCCACTGCGAGTCCAAGCCACTTAGCCCTCGGGATCTGTGTCTCTTCCGTGAAACACACGGACAACTTCATCTCTCTCTTCCTGCTCCAATGTCACGTGAACCTATAAACAACACCCACTGGGGGCCTCCCCTCATGCCCTCAGCTAAAAGTGCTCTGCATGTCCAACACGCCCAGCCTGTGCCTCTCCATTACCTTAAACATGGCCTCATCCTACCTGTCATTCTCATCACCCGAATTAGATCACAAGCACCTGAAGGACAGAATCTGCACCTCGCCCCTTTATGTATGTATGTATGCATGTATGTATGTATGCATGCATGCATGCATGCATGTATTTTTACTGCACAGCAGCTAGCATTGGGCTCACGAAATAGTTGTCGCATGAATGAGGCTGTGAGCGGAAGGAGTATGGAGGAGGTGAAGTCCTGTGAGCTTCCGCAGGGTACGTCAGCTGCTCTTTGTGGAAAACAACTCCCCTCTGCCCGCCTGAAATAAGATTAGGACACGAAGACAGTTTTAAAAATAATTATTACAACTTTATCTGAATAGGGGCCGAGCAGCACCTGGCAGCCGGTCCTCCCTGCAGAGCCTCCAGGCATCACGCCCTCCCGCGTTTTCTTTTCTAGCTGCTCCTTTTTCCTCCTTTTTCTAGTTCCTCCTTATCTCCTGGACCTCTGGCCACCAGGGACCTCCAGGATGCAGTCCTTGGACCTCTGATCTCTGCTGTCACCACTGGCTCCCTAGAGATAATCAACCGTCCTCAGGGTTTAAACACCCACTATGAGCTGTTGCTAACTTTCTAGGTTTACCAAGAGCACCGAATTTCCTCGCATCTCCTTCCAGCTGTCTCACTCACTCACTCACTCACTCACCAGGCTGGGGGCTCAAGTCCAAACCCTCACCCCAAAGCGTGTCACCGCCCTGGTCCCCCTCCGATCTGTTCTCAGAACTGCAGCCGGTGTAACCCGTGAAAATGTCAGTCAGATCCCAGTTCTCAGTTCAAAACTCTCCAGTGTCCCAGGCAAGTCAACGGCCTGGCAGGACCTACGCACCCGGCCCTGCGTGTCTCGTCCACTCTCTGTCCTGTCCCCACGCATCTCCTTCGCACCGGCCTCTTGCTGCGAGCTCTGCAATGCCTGTTCCCTGCACGAGGCCGACTCCTCCAGGCGACCCGCGTCCTCGCTTCCGCTGGTTCTGCCGAGTCCGCTGGCTCTGCACGGCCTCCTTGGCCACACGCTGTCACACTTCGCCCACCACGTTCGGCCTCCTCTTCCACTTCCGTTTGCTTTCTACTACGCGCCCACCTCTGCCCGACACACTACACCTGTCAGCGTTTACTGTTTAACGTCCGTGTTGCCCGCAGGGATGTAAATGCCACCGGGGGGGATTTGCTTCGGCTTCGCTGGCTGCGGAATACGGGAGCCCGGGTGAGTTCTTGGCGCGCGCGATCCGATCCATACATAGCTGCGGTAGAAATGAGCGAGCGGAGGGACTTCCGTAGAGAAAACGTCCACGTGGTCAGCCAGGCTACAGCCGCGTCGGCTCTTAGGCCAAAAACAAAAGCCAGGTACGCGCCTTTCCGTGGACGCATTCAAAACTCAGTTCCAACGAGAAAACGTCTTGCACGTCACCGTGCGTGAAAGTCTAGCTCTATATTTCTACTGCCTTAGTATCTTCACAGTCAAGGTATGTAACAGCGAATCGAGGGAGGAATTTCCCACAGTGCTCTATGCTAACATCCTAGTAAACAGCAAGGAACATATTTGATATTTTTTTGACTCAATAGTTGCGGAACACTTGAAACAAAATAAACTCCTTAAAAGCACAGGAAGCCAATAATAACTGAAACATTCTGTACTCAATCAAGACACTTCTCCAAAGGGTATGCGATTTGCAGGAACTTAAAAAACGTCCCAGTGATGCCCCCGGGAGTGAAACAGTTACAGTAGCAACTGAGTACTTCATACCTCCTCCTGGACCCTCAACTTAGTTACGAGCAGACCTGTCCAACCCGAAGCCACAATGGCAGCGCTCCTACAGAGAACGAGGCTCAGGACGGCTCCTCCCACTGCTGGCTGGCCAAACCGAAAAGACGCTGCCTCCAACCAAGATGAGCAAACATCAGATCGCGTGGCACTACATTTTGCAGAATGATGAAAACGAACATTCTTAGGTTCTAAAGTGTTCTAGAAAACTTTTAGGTATCAGTGAGTTCACACACACACAAAAAATGAGGAACTATTTAAAGCACTCAAAGTGTTTCTAAACACTATAAAAGGAAAAAATGAGTATACAGTCACCGGCTTACACTTAGATCGTGCCATACAGTTTATTAAATGTTGTGACATCTACCAGGAGTCAGCAAACTACGTCCCTTGGGCCAAATCCCGCCCGATGCCTATTTGTAAATAAAGTTTTATTGGAACACAGACACACTCATTTGTTTACATGCTGTCCTTGAGTGCTTTCAGCTACAACAGCAGAGGCGAACAGGTGCAACAGAGACCTTATTATGACTTGCGAAGCCAGAAACATTTGTTCTCTGGACCTTTACAGGGAGAGCACGCGGACTCCGGGCGTACAGAGAGCTGCCGGACCCCACATCGCCCTGTTCAGAAAGTGGGGGCCCACGAACCCGCAGCTGGTGAGTAGTGGAGTCAGCGCTCCAACCTCAGACACTACAGTAGCATATTTGTCCCCCGATGTCACAGGAGCAGATTCCTAGAGATATTCTTTTCCCCCAGAGACACAAGCCCAGAATAGGCCACACCCATGCTCTCAGCTGGTGCAATCTATGACTAGCCATCCAACGCCACCACACAGTTAACTGGATTTGGGGTTCCAGTTAATTTGCATATCAGCCCAGATAACCATGAGAAGTAACCCACAAATCTGGTCCTTTGAACAGCGGTTTCCAAACTCGGCTCTACATGGGAATCGTCCAGAAGCATTTTATAAAAATATGATAGTGCATCAAAAGCCCAGATGAGTTAATGGATAGGATTACATTTGTGTCAAAGCAACTTAGTAAAAGGTTAATACAGGTGATGAGTATGTAAGTGCTCACTTAAAGTTCCTTCAACTCCATATAATTCAAGATTTTCAAACTGAAACGTTAGAAAAAAAATTCTTCGCTTGCTTCCAACCGAGATCAACTGAATCGGAACATCTGAAATCGAGACAGAGATTTTGTCTGTTGAAAGCTCACGTGGAGTGTCCGATGCTGCATCAGAGGTGGATAGCTAACGGCATTTGTCAGCAAGTGATCGCCTGGCCTAGGGCTCCCCAGAGCACCATCCAAGGACCCCTAGGCATCTCTCAGGTGGCGAGCGAGTACATGCAGGTGCAGATGTGAGCATCGCTGGCCTTCTGCTAAGTCTGGCGTCAAAGGGAGCTTCAGAAGCGCACGGCAATGCCATTCTCCTCACGAAAACTGTCTTGGAAAATGAGGGGTTTTTCCCCTATTAAAAATGCTCTCTTAACATGTAACGTTATTTTTATATTATTAAATATTTTTAAATTTAACAATTCAAATTTAGAATCTGTAACATCAATAGCTACAACCCGCATCAACCAAAGCTCTTTGGGGCCCTGATAACACACGTTTGAGGACTATTCACCTGGGCATTTCTGGAGGAGGGTAAAGCTCAGATTCTGGGGTCAGAGGCCCTGGATTCAATTCTCTGACAAGCCGAGTGACCCTGATACACTCCATTGATCGCTGATTCAGTTTCTTCATCTATAAAATGGGGATAATTAAATTACCTATCTCGAAAGGTTTCCGAGAAGAATAAATAAAAATAAAGTGTGGGTGTGGGCAGTACCCAGCCCCTAGTGAGCATTACAGAAATGTTAGCTGTTTTTCCTGTTACTGTTATTATTTAGTTAAAACACCGAAGATGGAGCGCTATTTGAAAATGAATTTTTAAAAATAATTAAATTCACACTGACTAGGGATCAACCGTATAAATTTAAGTTTCAGGCCCCAAAACAAAATGAGCACAGTTCTCGCAGCCTCCCCAGCGCCCCCCGCCTCGCCAGAGATGCCGTCTTCTGCCCCCGAGTATTCCTTCGCTGAGGTGCTGCCACCTCTTGGGTCCCTCCCAAGATCCGCAGAGGGTCGGAGGGCAGGCCTACTGACGTCCGGAGTGAAACCATCAGCCAGACCTGGAGTCATTATTTTCTCACTCTGGTGAACCACAGGGAGAAAGGGCCCTAAATGAACTCGCTAAGTACATAGTGATTATAAAAACTAGGCTGGGTCGTAAATGATAAACGATTTGCGTCAAACCCACGTGTAAGTATTTTATAGTCTCGTACTTCCCTCCCGGTCGTCTGTGACAGGAGAATCATCCAACGGGTGACCCCACGCTTGTGTTTTTTCTTCGTAGATGTGGATCTTCCGGCAGATCAGACCACTTCCCTCCTCAGAGGCTTCGGCAGCCTCCGCTGCCCTCAGTCGCCACGACCTAGCTCGGCGTTCAGGGCACTCGCTCACGGCCCGTGTCCCGTACGTGTAAGTGTCTGCTCCTTCCCACAGAACCCCTTGTCCACCCTCCATCCGAGACACGCCCGGCTGCTCACTGTTCCCTACAAAAGCCCTGGGCTTTCCCGCCAGTATTTACCCAATTGCCTTTGACAGGTTAAAGAAACATGAAATAGATTTTTTTGGTTCGGGATTTCTGCCCACCTCCAAGCAAGGCTTCAGTCAACAGCGTCAGAAACCAAGAAATTCAGGTTCGATGAGGTTACAGAACTTGCTCAAGGTCACACGGCTCGTAGGCAACCACACGGGTCTTCACAGTGGACTGACGGACTTCCAGTCACTGCACTGTTCTCGAAAACTGCTCGTGGGAGGACGCAGGGCTTACCAATGGCCCCCCTGAAACAGATGGGGTACACTTGCCCTCCCCTCTTCCCTTCGCCGTACTGACACACTTGACAGTGACTACAGAGATGGCCAGATGTGTACTTACACTGACGAGTGAGTCCGCCCAATCCAGAACTCCATAACCGCCCCCCTCACAACTATAAAAGTGACAAGCGGCCTATTTATTTTTTAATACGCAACCATGAGAACGGTTGGTGTGGTGACCCTTTGATTGCTGTCCTTCTAAAAAAAAAAAATCTGTCCTTTAGCTGATTTTGTTCCAGAAGCAGATTGGTGCTCTGTCACCCCTGGGGTATCTGGGCTGATGTCCCTGTGCCCCGGGAACAGGGAGTGGCTAAAGCAGGAAGCTATGCGTCTGGGATAGAAAGGCAGACAGGGCAGGAAGACAATATGTGTCTCTTAACTGATCACAGCATAATTAATAGCTCCTCAAAATTGCCTTAGAAGCTTTTAAGCGCCTTGGAGATTACATTTGTTATAATTTTCTCAAATAGTTCCTTTATTTACATTGCATTAATGAGAAAAGCTAATACAATTTAGATTCCTTTTGTAGTTGTTTTTTTTTTAGTTAGAGCTCTAAATGGCATTTCATAATAAATAACCTATGTCTATTTATAGGTTGTAGCTGCTGTCACAGGTAATAATATAAATAATAATTATTCCCAGAAGGCTAAAAAAAAAATCCAGATAAGAAGTTGCTTAATCATTGAGATATAAAGTAAACCAGTAAACAGCTACTGAACTTTGTGTCTCGGTTTCTCATGGAATGTTTATTTTCCACTTTTTTTTTTTTTTTCAATAAAGGAAGTTTACCGCCATGCCACCCTGAACAAGCCAGATCCCGTCTGATCTCGGAAGCTAAGCAGGGTCGGGCCTGGTTAGTACTTGGATGGGAGACCGCCTAGGAAGACCAGGTGCTATAGGCGTAAAAAATTAAAAATAAGGGATTGTAAGATGACAAAGTCCTTGCAGTCTGTGAGGTCAAACAAGGGTTGCCTCGCTTAAAAAAAAAAAATATCGAAAAACAGTGGAACACAGTAGGCAATAACTAAAAAAAGAAGGAGGGACCGTAAACTATGCCACACAATCTTCTTCCAATCTTGAACTACTCCAAAATAAACAAAACGCTCAGACGAAATTCTAGTAATTCAGACCGTCCTCAGCCATTCACGTGTTGAACTAGGTTTTATCCTCATCTTTCCGGTAACTGCCCCAAAGCCACCCCCGCCGCCCTCCGCCAAGCCGGCGCCCGCGCGGGCCCAGGCAGCGCCGGGCCTTCCCTCCGGCCAGGCCCCAGTCCGAGCTCCAGCGTAACCAGAGTAACCTGGTAAACACAGCTCCTCCGCACAAAACGCTCAGGGCTCCTGGGGACGGCACCCGGGGAACCCCCAGGTGGATCGCAGCCCCCTGCGGGGCGCTGCACCCTGCCCTCCCCGCTGCACTCCAGCCTCCAGCGTCGCCCCAGGCGCACTTTCCCTTTGCTTCGATCTTCGCTTGACTCCGCCCCCGCCTCCTCCATGTCTCTGTCTAACTTCTTCAGAGCGGCTTCCGCAGACCACTCCTGTCCCCAAAGCACCCGCATCCTGCATCCATCACTCTCTGCCTCTCCCCAGGCTTTATTTTCTCGATGGCACTTGCTAACGTTGGCCACGGCATGACTGCCATCTACGTTTCTTATTCGACTAAGCCCAATGCCAATGGGGATATTGTCATCTGGTTTGCCACTGTGTCCCCGCGGCCCAGAAGTGACTGGTCCAGGGTGGGCACGTAGAATGTGTTGAATGAGCGAGTTCCAGCTCACGATGATTTATCGCATCGTCGTTCTCTGAACGCACATAAAGCTGGCCATGTCCACGATGACTAGAAGCTGCATGGCATTGTTTTCTAGTTGTTGCATAGTAGAAAATAGCAAACTACTTTCTACTTACTGTGTCCCGGGAGTGACAGGGCCTAGCGTATTTTAACAACTTAAATGATGCTTAAAACGTGCTAATTTGGCTCAATTATCAATCTTTTTCTCTCTGCTAGAAAAGGGACAAAGATGTTTGGCCCATCGATATGAAAAAAAAGACTGAAAAAGACTGATGAGAAAAGAGGAAAGAAAAATCTATCAAGAGCCATATCTTCCTTTGACAAATGTAAATATTTGTTTTAAACAATAATTTCCACTACCTTGGTTCCAAGTAGTCGCATACTGGCTCTTTGTTACCTGAGGAGACTACAGAATGAAAACAAAATTCAATATTGATTTTTAAAACCTTGTTTACATTACCATTAACTCGCTACCACCATTAGCAAATAACCAATAAAGTCAAACAAAACATACTGTAACAGAACACGAAGTCACGGCTTCACCTATCCTAAGAGGATTCTAAAGTATCTGCATTTATTCCTCGAATTAGTAACGCCAGAGAGCCAGGGTAAGCAATGTGTTAGAAACTGTAATTTGCTCATTTTAGGCCCTATTCAAAATGTTCATGGCATAGTAATTTAAAAACTATAATAATGGTCATATAGTAACAAATATTCGGCTATGCTAGTGACCCGCCCAAAAGTGCAACAATTTAAAACAAAGGCTACCCTGCCTGACAATTATAGAAATTAAAATGCTCCAGGAAGTTTGGCAATTTATTTCCAGGGTGAAGTCTTTCAAAAAGTAAGTTGCAGCATATAATCACCTTCAGTTACATGATATCTACCATGTACAAGTTTTTCCAGTGTCGATGAAAACTATTTAACCATAGTTACTATTCCAAGGTCACATTATTTCTTTTTACTATTTAATAGCCTAGGCTTTTTAAAAGTTTTTAATTTCTATCAAAAGTTAATTATCAGAACATGGATTAACCTCCCTTCTACAAACACTAGCAAACACATGTAAGCTTGTGGACAGCTTCCATGGACCCCAAGTATTATTACACCCCAACGAAACAAACTTTGGGGTCTAAAGACCAGTCCAACCCAAATCGTTGCGTGTTGATAATCTGCAACAGAATGCGTCTGTAGAATGCCAGGTCCCAGCCGTGTCGCAGAACTAACTTCTGCGCTGGCTAAGGGGCAGAGCAAGCACTGATGCTACCTACTGCTGTCCTCAAGATACCTGCTTCTGCAAAAACTCTGGGTGGACACAGGCTTTCGGGACGTCGCCGGGGAGAGGGCTACAGGACACGTGGAGAGGACACACAGGCCTTATTCCATGGTGGCAGCTTAAACATTTCTTTCAGTAAAAGCACATCTTAGGAAATAAGCACCAACTGGCAGGGAAGACTGTGTCAGGTGTGAAGTGCGTTAGAATTTGTGCGGTGTCCTTATCATGCCCATTCCAAAAAGTAAATAATTCCAAAAGTAAATAATTCCAGAATCTTTCCCGTGGCCTCTTTCAGAACTCCAACACACACTACCGTTGCCACTTCCCTATGTCATATTTTGTTAGAATTTCTGTCACTTAAGCAGTTGCAATCTGAATTATAAGATGAGGGGTTAGTGCGTGTCATACAATAAACCCCCAAAGAAAAGTATTCAGTGCTTATAGGTGATTACCGACACTCAAATGACTTATAATTCCCATAATCAAAATGCTACATTCGTCATTTTCAAGTAAATTTCAGGGCTGGAGGATTTTGAAAAGGCAAAGAATCTGCACAAACATCCGACAAATGTATCACTTCTTCTTGTCACTCTTCTCTCTGCAGACTCGGAGAAGGAGGATGTTTCCGGTTGAGTTAGCTCCTGTCCCAGCAGGTTTTACAAGCTTGAGAGATATGCAACCGTGAAGGCCAATGCCAGTTCTGACTGCATCCTTCATCTGCCATATCATTTCTGTCTAAGAATATTAAGTTTTTTCCCATATTCGAGAAGCAACTTTAAACAGCAATTCTTTTATACGGCGACACATAATAGAATTTGTGTTTAGTGCAACTGTCAGTTTTTTAGACATCTGGAAAATCCACCCTGATGTCTAAACAAAGTAAATGACATAGGCCAGGTGTTCCGGATCTCGAGTACCTGTGCGAGGACAGTGAACTCGTTCTTAATCAACCCAAATATGCGCAATGGGCAAACCGGTGTTTCTAGCCTGCAGACTACGCGTCAACACGCCAGCCTCCCGACGAGTAACGCCATCACACTTCAGGTGCGGGGACATCTGAACGGGAAAACTGGAAACGTCAGGAAGCCATATTCCAGGTGCAAGAAGGCGACCCCAGTAAGCAGGCGTGAAGCCGAAGGCGACCCCAGTAAGCAGTCGTGAAGGCGAAGGAAAGGGGGCGTTGATGAAGTCCCCTAGGCCGGGAGGCCATGGGTTCCGCAGAATCCGAGGAAGGCCTCTGGCTGCACGTTCTACCCAAACGAACCAGCTGTCGGACCTAACGGCCAGACGGCACCGTGAAGTGTCCAGAAGACCCGGATATGCTATAACTCTTCAGTCTGCAAAGCAAGTCCTATCCGCCTTTTTAAAAAAAAGGCGCCCGAAATCAAGTCAAGGTAAGTGTGTCACCTGCCCCAAAGCCAGTAACCGGCGGTCTAGCTGGCCCTC